GTCTTGAGTAGGCAACATCGATGGAGCCTATAAAGGCTTAAAATCATTCAGACAGCCCTCCCTGTAATGTATTCTCATGGCAGCAAAGAGATTATACATGGCTGAAGGCCTAGCCCTAACCTCTACCCCTAACCCATTATCCTCACCATCGTTTGCCATATGAAATAATTTTGGGTACCAGTTGGGTAAGTGAATTTTAAAAAGTCATTCTCCCTTCAATTTGCTTAATCTAGCTCTTGAAATCATTAAGACACCTATCCAACCCAAGAATATTTGAATAAGAATGCAGATTTCTTTTAAAAGCTCTTATTAAATTTTATTTGTATATAGTAAACACAAAATGAATAGAGAGGAATATTAGGAAACCTGAATCATTACTCATTACTATTAATCATAGGCATTAGGAAACCTCATCTTATCAATAGATATTCTATTGATACCTATTGATATCCCATTAATACCTGGCATCTAGATATCCTATTGTTATCTATTGATAGGATGAGGTTTCCACTATGTCACAATCACTGGAGATATAGCAGTGAGCCAAATAGGGAAAGTCCATGGTGCCACTCTGGTCACAGAGATCAAAAATAAACAAACACCATGTTTTATTTGAGAGATAGACATTAAGAAGTTAAAAAAAACCCACTAAGAATATGTACATAAAATGACAGAATGGTGGGCTTGCTAAATAAGATAGGAGCCTCTCAGCACGAGTTTTTGAGTGAGTCAAATCAAATCTGCCTATGAAACATGAATATTTTTACTATTATGCCATCTAACAATTTAAAGTGTTCTTTGTACATCTTTGAAACTTGGTGTTAGGTAAAAGGTCATTGTGTTAGAGCCAACACCAAAATATAAAATAATATGGAAAGGCCACATGAAAAAAGAGAGAAAGAGGAGAAAATAGAAAGAGAATACTTATTTGCTTTACATGAGTTGTTAGATTTAATGTACACAGCATCTCAACTCTCAAAAAAGTAGACTTAATTTGTTAAATGACAAAGAACTCATGTTTTCAGAGGATTTATTATAAAGGGAAATGATGTGTGACTTTGTAGGAGGCTGATTTTTAAATTAAAACTTCTTGACCACCATCCAGTATGCCTACATATATATAACTCCACCAGGAAAATCTGGTCATACTGTTATGAAGTGACACATTGTGTAAATAAGCAAAAACAACAGGTGTTACACATCTGTTCTTTCACCAATCTTTAGAATCTATCTTTAGTGAAGCTATAGTGGAGTTTGTAAACTATTAGAGAAAACCAGCTGAAGAGCCTAGCCTGTAGAGTAAAAAATTCAGGCCAATATCCCTAAGAGTTTAGGACTAGGTCTAGGATTATTTCAGTTTTATCAGTGGCTGGAGTAATGACATTGAAGTAAGTTTGCAGATGCCTTTTGCAATTTAGGCAAAGTTTCTGCCCTCATTATATTCTACAGAAACCTCATGACTTTCACATTTTAATTACAGGTATCATCATTAACTTAGGAACTCAAGTTAAAAATTTCAGAATCATTTTCAATTTATTCACCCCCTCCCCATATCAAATCTCTGTCAATGTCTATCAAATCTACTTGTAAATGTCTTTTGAATCCATATCAACTGTCTTATCCTCACTGAAACTGCTTTACACGTTTTTACCATTCCTAATCTGGAAAATTGAATAGACTCCTAAGTAGATTCCTTTCCTCCATCTTGTTCCCTTTATTTCCACCTCCCAACTGCTCAAGAATTATATTTCTAAAACAAAGACCTAGCCACTTAAATGCCCTGCTCAAAGTTTTCTGGTGGCTCTTCACTGCCCACTCTAAAGTGAGGCACTCAGGCTCTTTTATGTTGGGGCCTCAACTCATCTATCCAGTCTCCTGTCCTGCTACCTCCTTCCAAACGCTCTCTGCCACCAAATCATTCACAATTCACAGGTTGCTGCACATGCTTTTTTGGCTGCTGGAAAGTCCTTCCAATCCTCTCCAATCTGGAAAACACTTAACTTTGACTTCAATGTGATACTCAAATGTCATGTCCTATGTAAAGCCTGTGAGAATCATCCCACGCAGAGTTCACTACTCACTGTCCTGTGATCCAACAGAGCTCAATACCCACTTAGGCTTCTGCACACAGTTCTGCTGTAACTGCTTTGCATTCTGTCTCTTCCCTAGCTTGAACATCTTGGAGAAAACATTACATTTTATTCATCTGTGTCTTCTTTAAACTTGACATTTAGTACATATTCATGTGGTCAATCTGTAGAATGATACAGTCTAAGGCAATACACTTGGACTAAAAATAAACAAATGAAAGATTGGGAACCACTAAGTAATATAGACAGGTATGGACTTAATATCGGTAGAATGACATGCACGAAGAAAAGAATGATAGAGAAGTAGAGTAAAAAATTACTAAAAGCTCAGTGAACATAACTTAGTTATTTAGTGTGACAAAAATAGTACTACTGAAGTTGTTCTCTGCCTCAACAGAAAGCATACCCCCTAGATCCTAATGTTTGTACTACTTTGAAACCTATCCAACTCTATCACATTTCCTCAGTTTTGTTGTTTCTTCTGTTACTTCCAAACTAGTGTCTACATTCAGAGGGTCTCAAATCTCAGATTCCCTTTGAGCATGCTTAACCTATTCTCTCCATTCTCAACAACTTGGCTGTTTTACCAACTCACTTCTCTGAACTATGATTTGTTTCCATCAACTTTTCCAGTACTATTCTCAATTTCAACCATCACAACAGATCTACATTTTTTTCTGATTATAATTCTTTTTCTCTGTTTTCGACAGATATATCTATAATAATGATCCAATATCATCTTAATATATACTATATGGCCATATTTTCAAATTCATCCATTTTTCCTTTTTTTTTCAATTTGAAGGGCTCTATTAACTTTCTGATTTAATAATCTTACAATGTCACAATTACCTTGGATTTCTCTTAAAGACAGGAGGTCAGAAATTCTTTGTGCTTCATAACGTATGCGTAGATGAGAGGCCTAATAGTTTACTCTGCATTAACCATCTTTCTATCAAATTTAATATGCAACTTGCTCACCTGATTATTTTATTATTGGCTTACAAAATAACACCCTAAAAAGTCCATTGCTTCTTAGCCTCTCCTTCCCAATCTCTCCTTGGCAGGTGCTGTCTGCTCTACTCATCTCAGATTTCACCCCTGCTTAGAGTCTCTGTCTTAGCAGGCACATGACTGTTTGCTCCCACTTCTAAGTCTTCACACATGCAATTTCTTCTGGCTGGAATGCCCTCCCTGCTCGATTTCTTCTGCTAAGCTAGTTATTCTCTGCCTGTTTAAGATGTACATCCTCAATGTGGCCTGCCTCAGATGACTCAACTCTGGTCCCATTCATTCTGTTTTATTCAGCATCTTTTCAGGGTTATATATTAGCATCTCTATAGTCCTGCTTCCTTGCATTTCGGTTTATTTTTCATTCTTCCCTTAAATTTTCATTTGTGATGCCAATTAGTCACACTCCCATGGTTTCTAAGTTCATATCTTCTTCCGCCTCTAGAACCATTGACTCTGTGTACCCACATTGGCATTTCTGCCTGCTGGAGAAAATGAACTAAAATTGCAGCAGGAGAGATTAAGCTGGAGGACCAGAAAGTAAATGGAAATTTTCCATTTTTGGAAAATACCATCAGCTCCCATCTGTTTTGGATGGTTTTCTAGGATGAGAATGATTCAGATATAGAGATGATGTCCCAATTGTGATAATAATCACATTTGGGTTTCTTCACCATTTTGCTCTTTCTCGGACCAGTCCATTTCAATTTCAGGTTCACTTTTCTGCTCTTTTGCCACACTGTCTCCCTCCTTTCCTAGGAAACCCCACTTAGGTCCCTTACCACTTAGCTCAGGAAGGACAAAACCTGACAGGAGCACCTACCAGTTACTTTCCGCATTTTCTATCCCCTAAGGAGAACATAAATTTTCTACCTCTGGGGGTCACCCTCCCCCTTTTCATCCTGAAGAGATATTCCTACCCAAAACCCTGTCAGCCCAACTCAGGAAGGGGCATTTATGCATGTTTTTCACCACTGGAACACCTAACTATCTCAGGTTTGCAGGCGCATATCAAAGATCTCTCTACTTAGAGAGGGTCCTACAAGTGTCCCACCCAAGGAGATGCTAAGACCACACAGACGAGCAGGGGCTCTTTTCTTTTCTTCCTTAAATCTCCAAAAGAATTATAGCAGTGTTTGATTCAGACAAAGGGGGAAGCATCGGTGTTCTCTCCTTTTTTAGTTGGTGGGGGGTCGCGGAAGGGTTGGAAATAGGTATTGGAGTGTTTTTGTTTCATCTCCTCCATTAACAGGCAGATGTAAATTCCCCTGGAGCAGAGCGATTATCCCCACATCTTAATCCTCAGATTTATCCAAGCAGAAGATGGGACTAAGTAAATCGTCTCCGAATTAGGGGTTGAGGGAGGTGGCGCAATTTATTTCCTTACCCTTCCATCTCCCAGTCTCAAACTGTGGCTCATGATCACTCCCTTGCCTCTATTCCGGATTGTTCTATTAAAACTACTCATTATAAGCATTCTGGGCCCTCCTCTTTTTGCTCTCCAGCCCACTGTCCCCTCAGGCTGACAAGGCACGAGGGTCCTTCTGCCTCTTCACCTTCTCATCAAATGAAGCTCTTCTGCGGCTCCTGTGTCACCCGCCTGTCCCCCCACTCCTCTGCCCACCCTCTCGCCGGGCTTCCCGCTCCCTCAGTAACCTCTAACGGGGTTCGCTTACGCGCCCACCAGCTCTCGGGGTGCTAGCGTGCCCGACGGTGTGCTTGGTTCCGGGCCAACAAACTTCCTCACGACCCTGCAGCGCCCTAGCTGGGCCGCGCGGCGCCGTCTCCCGGTTCCCCGGCGCGGCGGCGGCGGCGGCGCGGGCGCGCTCTCGGCGGTGGCCGCGGGACTCTGGCAGCTGAGGCGTCAGAGGCGGGGGGCCGCGTCTTCCTCACACCACTTCTGGGACGTTCCCGCGGTGGCGACGGCGGCGGCGGCGGTGGCGGCAGCGGAAACGAGGACGTCGGGGACGGCGGCGGCGCTCCGGCCGGCCGCGCTGCGCATGCTGCAGGGTAATTAAGAAGCAGGGCCGGACGCTCCGGGACGTGGCTGGGCTGGAGTCCCGGGATACCCGCCCGCGCCCGCGCCCGCGCCGCCCCGCAGAAGCCGCACTTGAGAGAAACATCCGCATGTAGAGTAGGTAACCCTGGGCTCCAGGGCAGCGTCTCTTAGCTTACACCCCTTAACTGGCTCCCTCGCTTCCAGGGCTAACACCGTCCAAAAAAAAAAAAAAAAAAAGCGCTCTAACGGCATGTATTGATACAGAGTTTGTTTTGCTCCTTTAATCCCACATTTTTTTTTTTGTAATGTATTTGATGTCTGTCTCTACCCGCTTCAACAGCGCTCGTAGTTCCGCTTCACAGACACACATAATCAGAAAAACCACCTAGAACTTAAGTGTAACGCATGAAGCCTGCATCATGTGAACATAGGTACACGAAGTACATGGTACGTAGCACATGAGAGCGGCCGTCTCCTGCCAAACGCTTTTGGTCCCGTCCTTGAGACACCTATGGGAACGTATGCAGGTGTGCATTATTTATCCACCTAAACATATTTCCATGTGTAGCACAGTTTTTACATTTTCCTGAAAAGCAGATGCACACAGATAACCAGAAACACGAGCAGATGACATGGCCCGGGCATATGTGAGAGGACATGTGAAGGGTCGGTCGCAAAGCCGCGCAGCTTACCTTGAATTCGTGTTTGAGCCCCTCAGAGGCGCAGTGGAGTCAGGACACGGCTGCGGCACCGCGGAGGAGTGAGCTCCCTGCGAGTGGGGAAGGGGGACGCATCTCTGTCCTTATTAGTCTCTCCCAGTGTGACCCTCCCACTCCGCGAGGACAGAGGACTCTGCAAGACAGTACTCAGCCAACTCAGGCACAGGTTTTCCTTAATGACAGCGATGTCGCGTTAGAGCTGGGAGGAATGCCTTTCAGGTTATGTTTTACTAGCGTTTCACAGATAAAATGACGGTTGGATGCAGATGCCTAGAGTTTCTCACTTCTGATTATGAAGTGTCTTCAAAGTATTATTGTATGTGGCAAACGTTCACAAGTAGGTAATTGGCTTTTTTAACGGTTGAGCTAAGAAAAGGTATCATTTATGTTTCATTTTTTCACTTTTATGTCAAGAGTTTATATAAAGTTAATTAGGCAGTCTGCCCACCTTCTAATCATGCTCATAAGTAAACGTTTGTATGGTTTGGTTTTTCTCAGTGTTCACAGAAGTATTTTGATTTTAAATACATCTTTCCATGGGTTGGTGCTAGCAGTCTTGGCTTTGGAACTCTTTTGGCATTCCTTTGAATATTTATTTGAAAGTGTCATTTTCCTGCAGATTTCTGTGTAGGTGCACATATGTGTGTGTAGAGAGAATATATATATATTTGTAGGCATATATAGTAAGTTTATATACATATATAGGAGGTATATATGGATATTTATAGGCATATATACATAGTTACATATACATATATAGTAAATTTATATACGTGTGTGTGTGTATGCATATGTTTGTGTATATGTGAGAAACAGAATGATTTATAGAATTCAGAAGAGTAAAAACCAGGCATTAGAGAAGAGATAAGATAAACTGGTTTAACATTTTTTATTTCAGTATCGCAACAGTGGAAGAAATAGGATAAATTATATTATTGATCCACAATGGTGAAAATCATCAAGCTTAAAAGTTACCTTAGAACCATATAAAATATACTTCACATATCAGGGCTCACAGATCACGGAATAATGAAATCAGGCAGGCAAAAAATAAAGATGTTAAGAAAAATTTTAAAAGATAGCTCCTTTCCACTTCATTGGAATGAAACCATTAACGTATCGCTCGTGTTTTTTAAACTTTAGAGTCCGACATTGATGGTGATGCAAACCATGTTTCAATGTCAGGATTCAAACCACCTGATATGTTTCCCTCTCATGTGATTTTCATCACTAATTTTTGGATGAGTGTGGAAAGAGGCCAAGGAGGAAGGATATTGCATGAGTCACGCTACTCAAATGGCCATTTGAAAAACATGATTCACAAGACTTTTGGTGATCATTCTCTATATTTTTGAAGTATTATCCCCTTTAATTTTTTTCTTTCTCTAAGCAGTTGTACTTTATATGCCTTTCCATCACTAGTGAATTGAACTAAGAGTATCCAGGCTTTATTTGTCAGATTATTAAATTCACCTTATTTACAGTTAATTGATACTATTTAAAGTAATGCTTTAAAACTACCTAACAGGAAGCCCACAATTTTGTCCCTAGTTTATTTTAGAGTTATTTTCTTAAACATTTTAATAATTTTATAATTGCTAAGATATTTATGAGAGAGTTAAATGCTTATATTTTTGTTTCTGTTTCAAAATGGCCCTTTTCTTATTCATAACATTGAAACAAACAAGATTTTGGAAGAAAGTGAGAAATGAATAAATAAAATTCCAAATTATTATTATCTGTTGCTTATTCTGTTTCTAAATACACCAACATCCCCAGGTCAACAAATATTTCTCTATTTATCTTTCAGGAAATGGTTTAAATATAGGCTGATTTCATGGTCACAAACTATTGTATACCTATGGTTTGCTTCTTTAGCTAATTCCTTTTATTGAATTTTAAAGTGAATTCAATTAGAATCTTTAACAAAACGCCTTTTATTTGTCTAAACCAAGTACAATTATAAATGATCTGGTTTTCCCCTTGCTTTTGAAGCTACTGCTGATAAACAAACATGTGAAACTACTAGGGGAATCTGACAGGACTCTAAATTTTAACAAACAGCTTGCAGCACACACCAAGTTCAGCTGTGTGCATGTATGTACTGAAAAAATTTAACAGATTTAAAAAACAAACTTCTTTCAACATTTGTGCCTAAAGGAAGATAAAATTAAATGTTTTTGTGTCATATGAGGGATAAATTCCATTGAAAACATTAAAAAAAAAACAACCTGTTCCATATTTGTAATGCCCCACTGATATAAATTTAACAATTTACAATTATCATTGTACCAATTTTGATAATTTGGATTCAATAAATTTTTTAAATATGTTTCTCCTTAGCCTTAGTTGTCAATCGCATCTGCTTTATGTCTGTTTCTTTTTTCTATACTGTACAGAAGTATAGAAAAATGTCATGTTGCTCTTGTTCCCTTTTGTAATGCCTTTCACTTTTCCCCCTTCATAGTTTCCATTTTTCAAGAAGAAAGAATTTCACCATTGCCCCCAGCTAACTTCTCAGTTACCACACCATAAGAGTGTTCATTCTTTATTGAATTTATGGGGCACAGCCATACATTACTCCCTTACATATCCCATTGAAATACTTCAATGCATCAGTAGTGGATGAACAGACGTTACTGTTAACTGTAATTACCAAATCTGACTTGTCATCCCTAGCATGCACTTCCCATTATATTCCTCTTTAGGCCAGCACTACGTATGATGTTCTTAAGGGTAAAAAAGAAAGTAGTTATATCAATTCTAAATTCTTAGTAATTGCCAAAAGTAAATTAGGGCATCTTTTTATTTTAAATGCTGTGTTTACCATTGTTTCTGAAAATAATTTTCTTCATAGAGAAAATAATATTCCACTGGTTGTGTTTAGGTTTGTTTTTCTTCCTAGAAGACATTCTAGCTCATGACATTTACTCAGTTTAGAAATGAAAGGAAGAGGTGATCATGGATGTGACTTTCACTTAGTTTATTAGATTCTCTTCCTAGGGATCAGTGACTCTGAAAGGAAATATGGGAAAAGACAAATGGCCTGGGAAAATGTTTATTAATATACATCCAGTTCTGAAAAATCGTTTGAGAGAGAGAGAGTGAAAGAAATACCCCAATAGAAAAATAGGCCAAAAAGCAAAGAGGCAATTTACAAAGGAAATAGAAAAGGTCAATAAATTTATAAAAAATATTCAATTTAATTAGTATGTAAAAATGCACATTTATAAAGGAACTATTTTCCTCTACCCATTCTGCCAAGATTAATATCACTGATTAGACTTGGTGTTAGTATAAAAGAAGAGCATTTTCAACAATTCCAGGAACATATAATAGTTCACTGTTTCTAAAGGGCAAATTAGCCATGTTTATTAAAAGCATTTAAAAAATGTGTATAGACTGCATCATAAACTCCCCTAAAATAGTAACTGTGGTTACTTATAGGTTGGGCTTATGATAATTTTGATTTTTTCTTTTTGGTTATATGTAATGTGTAAGTTTTCTACATTGAACATGTGTTATTGTTGTAGTAAAAGTATAATGAACATGAAAAAATGTGGTGTTTTATCTCCAACAAATTAATAAAGCAGTGGTATTAAGAGAGTCGAGAAACTGGCCTTTTAAATACAGCTTTCAATCATTTCCAACAAGAATATTCCAGGTAAAAATTAGTATGTAATTTAAGCCATTTAAACTGAGTCTAGCAATTTCACTGGGAAGCAGATGTTAATTAAACTGTTTATTTCTTCAGCATATATTCTTGAACACTTTTTAAACTAGCCACTTCAGAGTATACAAAGATACATTGAATGTAGGCCCCACTGCCTGGAGTTTAACATTGAGAAAAAAAAAGAAGACATGTATAAATATATAATAATAATAGGATATAAAAGTGCAAAATGTAATAAGCAAAGTAAATATAAGGTTCTAAATGAGTTTTAAGGTGAAGGGACTATGTTCAAATGTGGAAGCATCAAAGTAAAAAAAATTTCAGTGGGCAAAATCCATCCATTGTTTGGTAGACTAAATATACTTACAAATAATTATAGAGTCATAGTACTGGAGGGCCATTGTAACTAAATAATTATGAAATTATGGGTTTACTATTTATTTAATAAATGTTTGTTGAAAGAATCTGCAGAGAACAAGCCTACTTCTTATTCAGATGAAGAACATGAGATTCTTATTTTCTGCTGAATTAAAACCTTTTGCTGAATTCAGTCTTAAACAGTGTCACCCAATCTACTCTTATCAGTTCAGTTAAAGGTACATTTTACTACAACCAGATTTAATGACTTGTAACGGCAGAATGAGCGTGTCTCAGCATACTCATGTTGCTGCCTCCCCCCAAAATACGAAGTGGCTGTGGGAATTCTGCCAGCCATTCAAGGCTTACTTCAGGTGTTAGCTATAATGTGATTACTTTCCTGCCCTCCTCCCATCAGTCAAACCCTCTTATGCCCCTGAACAGCACAGAGCACAATTTGTGCCTCTTTAATGATGATCTACATTCCCTTGCCTTGTTTTAGAAATAGTTTTGTACTTTGTCCTCTGACTTAATTGTAAGCTCCTTGAGGACTGGAATTGGGTCCTCTCATTTTTAATAATACCTGGAACATCAAGTATGATGAATTCATTCTCCTTTATACAGTCTTCAAATATTCATTGAAGTGAAACCTGTAGAGGTTAAATAATCAAGGACATAAAATTTTCTAATAACGAAGTGTGGACTGAGTTTCACAGTTTGGAAAAAATGATGGGTTCCCTTTTGTGTTATATCTAAGGGAATTATTCTTCTGATAAAAGAGTCACAGGAAAAATTGTTCTCACCTATAAAAGACTCCCAGAGCAGAGACTCTAAGGACAGCAACACAGGAAGACAAGACTATCATCAATTGAAAACGTCCTCATCATATGTTCTCTTCATTCCTTTACCAAACTTAAGGTAAATTTACACTATCAATAATAGAGCACAACCCTGTTTAATCCCTTATTATTGTTAGAATATGAAAAATGATCTAACTCCTAAATGTTTTTAAACAACCAGTTCTGTCTACAACATTTTTTAAAAGAATAGTTCAACATTGGCACATCATAAATGATCGCTTGGCTCATATATTATGTCAAGTTTATGTCTATAAAATTGTGCTTCTTTTTGTTGTAACTTCTTTTTGCAACATTTATTTTCAATGTAGAATTTGTTTAGCTTATTCCATAATTCTCATAGAATCATTTTGTAAGAATCACCTTGTGCTAGCCTAGACACAGTGCTAAGTGCTTTACATATTTCATCTTTTTTTTTTACTCCTTCAGTAATTTTGTTGTACTATTTTTACAGTGTAATAAGGCTATGAACAAATCTCTGATGGAGTCAGGATTTGCACCCAGATCTGTCTCATTCCAAAGTTCAGGGTCCTATTCACTATGCTCTAGCATCTAGTCTTCAACCTCTTCCTCAATAAATGTTCTGCAAGCACCTGTTTGCAATTGAGAGCTACGACACCCAAAAGAACAGTTCAGTGGGGCTCAGTTCAGAGGCCTCAAAGTTACCTGGCAAAGTTACTTCATTCCCCTTATATTACAAAAAAGAAAAATATGTATACAACAAGAACTAATTTTAATGAAAAGAAAACCATAAATGAGTTGATTGGACCTAGAATTTTTTAATTCATATGCTGCAACATGCTTTAGTCTCTGCTGGCTTAAAAGAGAAAAAAATGACAACATAGCAGACTAGGCAAAGAGCTTTGCATAGTTGACTATTCAACTAAGGCAAAATAAGATAAATTGGACTTGACTCTGTTCTTTATCAAAGGTGACAGGTTTACCTGTGTTTTTGATATTTGAGGACATTCTTGCTGTCAAGTTATTTTACCAGAAACCCATTTTTACCCATTTGAAATGTAAACTTTTATGTTTATAAAAGCCCTTTTAAAGTAATTATGAGAAGTCATAAAACATAGCTAGTAAAGGAAATAATGATAGTTCATAAATCTATACTACTTTTAAATCACTTCAGATGTTAACCAAAATTTTTTTTCCATATAGAGCTGTTTTATTTTTAACAAAAACCTCATAATAACTTCTAGTGCTTCAGATAGCAACATTAAAACCTCTTAAGTCCACTATCTTTTATTCAAAGATTTGCTTGCATTGGCTGCCGGACAGAGGCTCTCATCCTAATCCTATCCCTAATCATGGTCACTGCTCAGCTGGTTCTGCTGTGGTGCCATCACTCAGTTTTGGCCCAACCCTTGGGATGCTAGCTACATCCAGAGCCAGCTGCCATCTGAGACAGAGCACTATGATATGAGTGCTTTTGTCCTTCAAAATTTGTATGTTCAAATCCGAACTCTCAAGGTGATAGTATTAGGAGATGAGGCCTTTGGGAAGTAATCAGGTCATGAGGGCAGAGATCGCACGAATAGGATTAGTGCCTTCATAAAAGAGGATCTGGAGTGGCCCTTTTCCTTTCCACTAAGTGAGAACATAGCAAGGAGATGGCCATCTATGAGGAAGCAGACTTTCATCAGACACTGAATCTGCTTTGATCTTGGACTTCCCAGCCTCCAGAACTATGAGCATTAAGTTTCTGTTGTTTACTGTGTGTATGGTTTTATGTTATAGCTGCTCAAATGGACTAAGATACAAAGGAAAGATCTGTTTTCTCCATCAGTGTCAGTCTGACGGTGGTTTGTCTTAGAATGACAGTTGCATAGAAGGTAACAAATGGTATTCTTAGACAGTATTCAGCTTTTTTCACTCAGGTATCATTAGCTATTGCAGCATAATAACCTATTCCAAAATTCAGTAGCTGAAAATAACCATTTGTTATTGCTCACAAGTTGGCTGGTTGAAATTCATCTGGTCTAGGCTGAGCTTGGCTGATCTCAACTAGGTTCTCTCATGTGTCTACCACCAGCTGGCAGGGCATAAGAGTATTGGCTGGTAGGAAGGTGGATTGCTTGCAAAAGTCATCTCTCCTCCACTTGGTCTCTCATCCTCTAACAGGCTAGCCTGGTCCAAGAGATCCCAGGGGTTTAAAACAGAATGAAAGCTAAAAGGCCTTTTGAGCTTGGGCTCAGAACTGACACACAGTCACTTCTACCAAATTTTATTGACCAAAGCAAGTCACAGGATAGGTAAAAGTCAAAGCTTCATCCCTTGACGGAACAAGCTTCAAAATCACATTGCATAGAGCACAGATACAAGAGGGTGATGAATTGGGGACATTGGTAATTTTCTGTGGTTAGGAGGATGCGCAAAAGGCATCTTCATTCAGCTCCTACCAGTGGTATGTCCCATATCTACTACTTAATGTCTCTTGCCTCCAGAAATGCCACTAAGCAACTATCAGTGCAGTTCTACAAGTCTTATCCCTCAGCTAATGCCAGTCACTTTCACATGAGATCATGGAAAGTGAAGAGATCCTCTACTTCATCCTCTCCCAGAAATGTGGAGAACTGGAATGTGGACATCCCTATCCTTTCCTTCTTAGAAACCATAAACTGTAGTTTCCACATGCCCTTCAGGCATCCCTCCTTCAGAAATCTCAAAAGAAGTAGGTCTTATCATTAGATTTCAGAAATACAAGCCCCAGGGGAGACAGATCCAATACCCCAAATATGGTGAGGAGAGACTCTTTGAGATCTCTTCAATCCTTTCTCTTCCAGAAGAACCCCTTTTCTTTTGCAGTTTCCACTGATTTGCTGGTGACAATGACTATTAAGCCAGTCTGCAAACCTTGATGGGCCTGAGAGGAAGGTACCAGAACTTTTTGCACCTAGCCTTTACAAATTTAGCATCAAAAACAAAACAAAACAAAACAAAAACCTGTTTGCTGTCTCCACAATAATGTGGTTCCAGTGGAGGTTGCAAGGGACAACTTTAGACAGAACTGCTGTAGAAGGCCTCTTGAAGGTGGTAATACTACAGCTGAAACCTGAATGCCAAAAAGGAGCCAACTCTGCAAAGATCAGTGGAAGATTGGGCACAATTGGGCCTGTTCAATGACCATAGAAATGGCTTCATGCCTGGAAGCAGGTGAGCAAAAGAGGGCATGGTAAAGGTAAAAGATGATATAGTCCGGGGCTGAATCCTGAAGGGTCTTTTAGAGTTCAGTGAGGAGTGTATATTGTACACTAACAAGGTAAGAATGTATTGGAGGGTTTGACCTGATTTTGTTTTAAAAAGATCACTGCCTTCTCTGTGGAGAATAGATTGTAGTGAGGCAAGAATACATTTAAAGAGACCATTCTGATGTTGTTGTTGTACCCAGGTGAGAGATGGTGATGGCTACAATGAGGATGATATTTGTAGAAGGTAGAAAGTAAACAAATTTGAGATACATTTTAGAGGTAGACTTGACAAGACTCACTGAAGGGCTGGATGTAAGGGCTGAAGGAAACAGAGAAGCTCAGAACAAATGTATATCTCAGGGATACAATAGACCTTTAAAATGGTTTGAGCCAATCATGTTTCTATGCTCCCTTTAATGCATAAAAATTAAATTAAAGTTGCTTTGTTTTCAAATGCTCATCCTTTAGAAAAGGGGGAAAGGAGAGAATATCCTATGTAAATGACATTCAAGGCCATGTGTTACAATTTGCCTTAGAGTGCCAAGCAGGGGCACGAGCCTTTCCAAATGCTTCCCTGTCACATTGTGAGGAGAAAGAGGGGCAGGGCACAGAAGCGGCAACTTAGAATTGCATGAGCTTCTCCAAGATGGAACAGAATGAAGAAGCAAGTTCTACAAGTGAAATCAGACTTTTCCCACAGAAGGTAGGTTATTAACAGCTTTTCTTGGTCCCTGAATCCGAACTGGAGTTGCTTTAGCGCTGAATGACTCCTGTTCAATCACCTTAGATAAACTGAGGAAAGGAGAAAAGAAGGCAGTAGGGGAAAAGTAGGGGATTCCAGAGAAAGAACTTCAGTAATGGACTTCTTTGCTCTTCATAAATCATAATTATAATTATGAGCACAGAGACTCTTACAGATATATAGACATGATAAGGACATTTAAACATTATATTTTAGACTTGTTTTATGGGCTTGAAGAAATAATCTAAAAATGTCTGTGTGGATTCAGTGTTTAGATTTCTTTTAGACTAAAGTCACTTGCATAAGACTTGGCAAAATACTATGTTAATAATCCAGTGATTTGAATATCAAATCAGTTATGTAAATGACCATATTTACTCACATAATTTCCTGGTACAGCAGCTAAGTTAATTAGTGAGTGGTTGAGGTCTGAGCCACTACTCAACCTCCTTTAGTCATCTTAGAGATTTCCCACTCTGTGTAAAGGACCAGATCTCTGACAATGCCGGGTTGCAATCAGTGGAAAAAATAGACATGATATCCTAACATTTCTTCCTTTATTTAATAATTCCTCATTGTTTGTGAGACTGTGGGTTTATTTTGGGAAAAGAGAACATAATAATAACCCAGTTATTAAAAATACTGGTATTTGGTATATTTTTTAAATATTGAAGTGCCATTAGTGTTCATATAGCCAATACTAAATTTAAAGTTAAAAATTGTCCGTATTTTAAAATCATGTATATATACATATGAAAACATAATTTTGAAATTATTTTCAAACAGCAAGATGGTATTCTTTAAATCATCAAAAGTAAATCAATTCTTAGGCCTTTTTGTGTCTTTCATCTTAATGAGTCTCTCCAAGGGCGTTGTCTGCAAAGAGAAGATCTTGGATGACTCCTGCCTCTTAGATAAAGAAGCTTTTCACTTAATGTATGCAGAAGGGTTTATATTGGGTGGCCAGACAATTTATTCCCAAACAGGAACATTTTCAAGAATGAAAGGAGGCTTTATGAATATTATAACAGGAATATAGGCATTAATGCCTGTCTGGTGACCCAAGATTCAGAGCATAAAACACACCAACAAGACATCAAAAGATAGAAAGGCCTAGGGTACTCA